CTCTTTTGCATAGAACTTCCTCATGTAGTTCAGAAACATGAAAATTTTCCGAAAATTTTTCGAAAATTTTTGGCGGAAAATTATTGGGTGCTGGACGCTCTAATATGGGAAGAAATTGTTCAGAAGTTTTCGGGAAAATTAACGTTAAGTATTAAAATTTTGCGATGATTTTATGTTTTTTTTCGGAAAATTATGTAAATCGTCTTTCGTGTGTGCTAGACATTATTTTGGGAGTAAATTGTTGAAAACTTTCCGGGAAAATTGATATTTTTTCAACTTTTCAAGGTAGCAATGCGGCCCTATCCCAACCTTCCATCGGCTCGGGAAATGTGCGTGGTTGTGGCGGACATGTTGACGGCGTGGGGATACTCCCGAGCTCACATGGTCATAACCCTTTTCCCGCGGGGGTTCGATTCTATGCTAGTTTTGGAGGAATATATGTTTACCCTCTCCCGAGAGTTTACATGTAAATTCGGGTGGAATTTGCCAAAAAAATCCTCAGAATTTTGTCATATTGTTATCGCCAACTTATGTGATAGGCATATTTTCATTTCAGATTGGCCACAGCTTTGGGACGTTCGTGGTGAGGTGGATGTTGGTAGTAGTAGTGGTAGCGTTGAGGAAATGCAAGATTGCAAGATTTTGTATATCAGGCGCATGAACTCAACAGGATCGCGTCTTTGAGTTTGATGGACCCGGTGTGCTTCCTGTTAGTGAAGAACGACTTGTTGTTGAATACGCAGAGAAAAGTGACGGCCGCGGGGATCGAACCTGGGTGGGTAGACCTCAGCGTTTTTAGGTCCATGAAGACCCGATTGGGATATTGGCTACTTATCTGGTCTTCAGGGAGTTGTATACGGCACATACATTGACGAGGAATTTCTTTTGGGAACAGGTGAGGAAGTTATTGATAATTAGTGTTGGAGAAGGAATATATGTTTGCTTGCCTCTGCTGAGCTCAGAGGAGTTTATATACGAATTATGGGGTAGAAGTGTACAGAAACCAACGAGAATTTTCATATTGTCATCATCACCAACACATGTAGTTGATGACCATGTGCATATCCCTTTCCCCCCACATTTTCATATTGTCATCATCACCAACACATGTAGTTGATGACCATGTGCATATCCCTTTCCCCCCACATTTTCATATTGTCATCATCACCAACACATGTAGTTGATGACCATATGCATATCCCTTTCCCCCCACATTTTCATATTGTCATCATCACCAACACATGTAGTTGATGACCATATGCATATCCCCCTCCACATTGTTAATATTGGAGGAGTTTGATGGTTTTTGTATCAGAATAACGTCTGGCCTGAAGAACTGCGGAATGTCCCCACGCACGTGTCGTTGTGCGGCAAAGATTTCATAGTACCAGCTCACTCGATAAGGAGGTTGTTGGAGGCTGAATCGTGAGTATCTTAGGTTGCTGTGTGGAAGATACGGATTAGGTTGGGGTGGTGAATATAGGCTTTTTAGGGCGGCGCGTCTGGCGATTACTCGAGAGGATCAATTGAAGAAATCACGACTACACGAGCAGTCCAGGAATTTGTGAGGAAAAAATATTTTTTTCTCTCGTATTTTTCGCCCGCCGCGAAATTATTCTACGCTCAGGAAAAAGGGGCGTGAGGATTTATTCCAACCAATGAGAGTTGATTGGAATGACGATGGTATACACGGCGAAGCTCTGCTCAATTCGGGGTGGAGGAGGAATATTTTGAGAGGAATCGCTGATGTTGTGGGAGAAAAATAATTTTGCTCGGAAAACGAACGGGCGTGGGAGAGTGTTGCTCGACGGGTTTTCTCATACATGGATTGTTT